GACATCTTTTAAACAAAAAGTGTGGTTGTGCTTTCATTATTGTTCGTGACGACGTAGCACTTGAAAAAAAAGCACTGATAAATTTCTGTTCATAGAACTGAAAAAAGATAAAGTGTATGAGAACTCACGCACCACTCCCATCTCATCAAGAAACCAAAGTGGCCGACCGCTTTCACTGAAAATAACAATACCCTAATAATCTCCTAACCAACCATCATTCGGCTTCGATGGTAATAATGAATGCGTTTGTGGATTGTTAAGCTAGCGCGAGATTTATATAGATGTTTATTCAGCTAACGTTTTGACGTCTTCGTCTTCATCAGAATCGATGATCAAAGTCGATTGTCCCCAATTGTTTCGGTAGGTGTCAATGGTCTCAGTGTAACGACTTCGTCCTCGTACCGAGTGGGATCTTCATCAAGGGAGCGTCTCTTGAATGAGGCATTCTGACCGGGTGACGGTCTTTTATACAAGCTTATTGATGTTAATATCACTATCCGTTGACAATGTTTGGTTTTCAACGGTTAACCTATCCTGCAGCAGCCCTTGTTGTGTCAGCGAGCACATATCGAATAGCAAGGCAATAATTTCAAAACAATAATCCAGGAAGGGATTCTTTACTACTACCATTACCGAGGTTTAATGATAGACTGTTTGAAAAATATTATTGTGCTATTCGCTATGTGCTAGCCAATATAATGCCGACTGCTGCAGGATGCATTATGCTTCGAAAAAGAAAATATTGTCAGCGGATAGTCACAACGACATCAATACTCCTATACAAAAGAGCATCGCCGGGTGAGTACACCTCATTCGATAGATGTTGTACTGCCGAAGATATGACTCGATTCGACTACCAAGAGACCACATCAGGAACGAGAACAATTGTGGACCATCGACTCGGATCTGACAAAGACGAAGACGACAAATCGTTTGCCGAATGAACATGTTTACTAACCTTGTAGGTCGAAATTGAACATATCAGTGTACAATGTAGATAAATTCCAATTATTTTCAAGCATTATTGCAGTTCATCGAGGTTGGGTATGGAAGATAACGAAAATCGAAGTTTGAATAAGCAATGGATTTCTCTCCATGCAAATTTTAAAAGCTTTTAAATGTTGCAGGCCAAAGTTTTGATTTGGAAACCACCCATCTCGTTATTTTTCTTAGCATAGACACATTCGTGACATCATCCAGTAAACTGCAAAGAACACGTCTAGTTCTTCGCCGCGTGGTGATTGTATTAAAGCCAATGCACTTTATGAAGAATCGTCAGAAATTGACCAAGCTTTATTTAAGTGTAGCAAAAAAATGGCCTTGTGACAAAATAAATAGCCAGAAAAGAACTATACTGCAGTCAGCGGATCAAAACACCCTTTTACGCAATACACGCATTGACTTGAATGACATAAGTTTGCCAATGTGTTGGATATTCTGTACAACTGGCCTTCCAAGGTTAGCAAATTGGTGCCATGTTAGTCTGAGAGGAATGGTGCACTAACCTGATACAATAGTAGAACACCACAATTACAGGTTAGATTGCATTCACTCCCCACTACAGTATTTGATGTAGTGGATTTCATGGCACATATGAGAGGGCTTTATCAACGGCGAACGCCACACTCTTTATGATTATTCCATACTCTTATTCAAAGCATATGCACTTAAGGAGAAGAGCCAATGGGTGTGGTCTTGTGATTTCCAGAATTCCTGCCACACTCGAAAAAAAGGCTAGGTCTCGCTAGCTAACTGGATTTTTATACGAGCTGCAAAGTGTCTCTGAGGTATTCATCTAGCCCAGTATGTTTCTGTAACATCTCTAGCAAGTACTTTATTCAGTATATATGGTATTGATAAATGGTCGCTGCTCGACTAACAGCTGTGAAGATGTTTACATAATAAACAACAATACAAACAGTGGAAGGGAACACCTTTCACAACCCTTAACCATTTCTTTTTCGGAACGTAAATTTTTTGAACATCTCATTTTGTTGGCCCACTCACAAACCGTATTCTGACAAAGAACACGAAAGTTAGAAAGGACCAGCCAGTTTTCAGCCAGAAGGCCGGATATGAAGTTGAAACAGCATAAGATTTCAATGACACCACGTATAGACCATTAGGTTTATGAAAATAAGTGAAGTGTCAAACGATAAATGAAGAGGAAATCATTTTCGGTATCCCGAACTTCAATTATGAAGATTAGCTATTAGCTAGACAACTAATTATATAGGTCACCCAATTTCCGTTAATATGTTGCTCACCACATCGAAGGAAAACTAGGATGCATGTGGAAATCGACTGACAAACCTCTATGGAGAGCAAAACTGGGATGCTTGTAATCTTGCATTTCCGACAGTTTTATTTCTTTAAGTATTTTTTAACGTGGAGCTTAAAGGTGCATTGCAGTACACACTTGTTCATCAGTTCGACCCTACGCCAGGCGCTTAGCCAGCTACCCAATCCGTCTATAGTTGGCAACTTGGTACCAAACTTGTATGAGTTGATAAAAATATTGACTCAATAAATTCGTAGATCTTCGCTAGTCATCCTGTGTGACAAAAATGCATTCAATCCCACCAGTAATGCTCAAAGCAGTCAAATGCACTTGACATCGCTGAGGTACTGATGAACTCTAAACGCTTTGTTTCTTGTCTTTACTTCATCTTGAACATTTTCATTCTTCAGATGTTTCCAGATAAGGCATGCTGTATATTATAACTTGTGGGACGCGTTTACAACTGGGTAGATTTTGAGTAAGAAAATATGACAGAAATGGAAAATATCCCAAGAGAAACGTATCGTCTAGTAAAAAATTAAAAGCGACAATTAAAACAAACAGTAGATGAATAGACAGTCGAATATACCAATGATGAATTTCTATGTTTCAGTCAAGTAATCAAATGATAAGCTCAACGTTAAGGCATCAAACAGACAAATTATTTACACAAAACCACTCTCAGAATCCGAGAGCATTCCTTGCGAAGAATTCCACAGGAAAAGGGTTATTCTCGTCGATTAGCTGGTAAATCTGAAACAAAGTTATCGTATTAACACCAAGTTTATGCATAAGGAAGAATTAGAGCAATTACCATATCTTCTACCTTCTTATTGGTTGGAAAAGCTGGCACACTTATCGATTGCGAGGGCTTGTTACCATCAGAACTGAAAAACGCTTCAGTCCAATGTGGAACTTACATCAGATACTCAAACCAGAGAAGAATTTTCTAGCTTACAATGCCATTGAGAACGTCGTTTTCTTTGCATCACTCTTTGTCTCTTTTGAATTCTCGCCATTAGAGATCTCTTCCCAATCGTACGGATCGGAATAACTAAAAACACTTTTATGAAATGCTGAGATATTTGCAAAACTCCGGACCACAGGTGTATGCAATGGAGAACGAACACGCGCTGTTGTCCTTACCGGGGAGCAGCGCGTGTTCGCTCCTCACTGCATACACCCGTGGTCCGGAGTTTTGCAAATATCTCAGCATTTCATACGAGTTATAATTCGAAACATAACCTGCCATTAAGAAGAAAAAGGCAGTAAATAAGAGAGTTAAGATTGTGATTAAAACACTTTTTTCTCAGAAATGTCTGTTGACAAATTTTTAAACAACTCTAGAGATTGTACCTCCGCTTTTTTTTAGCAACTCAAAAACATTCCGACTGCTTATTGAGTTTTTTCACAACCGAAAGCGTTAAAATTTGAATTACTGAATGGAATGATAGCTCTTAATAACAGCTTTACCTTCTCTCCTACCAGTAAAAATAAGCTGAAGGCCACAATTTCTCGCTGGACGGTTAAGTTCAGGTATACTCTTCCAAATATTGCTTTAAATACCTACGATCTTTTTCTCTTTTCATCATTTTTTTTGATAGATACTTTTAGACTCTTTTAATTACATATCTATGCGTCATATATAACAGAACGAAAAATTTTAGAGTTCGGACTCGAGGAACGAAGTCTGCTTTACTTCCTAATCGACATCTGACAGGGCTCTAAGCTTATGGCATTTGCTTAGCGGGCTTGTTCGATGATACCGAAGTTTGGGTAGAATTGCCATCATGTTAATGTGCAACTAGAGCGTCAGAACGGGCATGTCATTGGGCTGGCCACTTTTCGTCGTGTGGAAAACCAATCATTGTAATTCATAAAGTCTTTCCAGAAAGTTTTGGTATGTTGGTCTATGTTATTGAATCGAGATGGGCTAAATCGGAAATAACTATGGACATTGAGATAACACCAAACTTTGATGCAGGTCCTCATCATTTGCTATGAAAACTAAGGTTTAAGCTTAGTAGGCACTGCTTTTGAACCATGGTTATATTGTTGTGATAGCCCAATCTAATTAATCGACTGTAAATGGACTAGTGCTGGTTCTAAATGAACAATCATCATCAAAACGAGATTTTCGCTAAAACCAATGATGAAGCGTTTGTCACCGATATCTGTATACACACAACCCTAAAGCAGAACCTCAACCTACTATCTTCCATGTGGGGTGCCACATTCCCACCTGAATCGTCCTGCCTTCATAACATCTCTCAACAACTCATATAGTAGCACATAATCTGGTCGCATATAATAATTCAAGCTGCTGAAAGATTAGAAAAATTATTCAAAAAAACCACTTGTGTGTTACTAACGCTCACCTGATGTGTTCTGCAAATTTTACCAGCTGTACAGGACAATTCTCCAACACGACATCGATCTCCGTTCTTCGCTTGATCTCATACACTTCTTTCTTGTCGCTGAAATTTTCGGATTTTATAAGTTAACTTTGGTACTCATCCTTGCTGTAATTACACATGTAGCGCAGTGGATAAGGATGCCCCGCAATGCACACTTGACCGGTTCTTTCGATCCAGCGTCTAAGGGCCAGCAGAAAACTTACCTCCGATTACAGGAGCCCACAACTACATGTGGTGATCACCTAGAAACAGCTCAAGACGTCTAGTTTGGGATTTCGGCTAAAACTACTCTTGACCATAAATCACCATCTCATTAAGGACTGAAGATGATGTATTCTCAAGCAGCAGACGAACCCACACCTGAACCATTCAAACGAAGTGGTGGTTGCAGAAAGGCGAAATGAGTAGAAATTTTTAGAAGGACCCCTAAGTTGATCGCTGCGTAACCATTCATCTATAGCCATTATGCTTGGTGGAAACTTCGAAATTATCCATTATACTGTGATGAATTTTTATTCACTGCCTATTCTTTTTGACGGTGAGGTACAATATGAAATACAACCACAACGGCGCTAAGGCATTTCCAAAACTCCGGACCGCAGATGTCTACGGTGGGGGTCGAACACGATATCACACTTTTCGAGGGCTAGCGCTTTTTCCACCACACCACGCGAATCCTTCGTTTCTCTTTTCTCTCAGCCGTGTTTTAGAAGTGCTATCAGCAATCACACGTCAACGGGATTGATCCATTAAACTATGTAAGGACATTGTATTGTGCCGCCATCAGCAAATTCAGTTGTGCAGTTTTACCTTTATTAGTTAGTTCACCTCTTTATAGACCAGTAAAAATTTTTTTTCGTGGATTTAACTTAAAGTGTTCTACATGATAAAAATTTTCTGCCAAGAATTATAACCTGCTGTATTGATTAACGATAATTTGGAAACACTAGTTTCTTCATACTGTTCAAGTACTGTACATCTCAAAGTTGGAGTTAAACTAATTAGAACCTTATGAATCTTTCGCAAAACAGATCATTTTGACCTGGCGTTTGTCCAAGGTAGAGGTCCACGCAGCTCGGCCAGCATGTACAGCAAACACCACAGATCATCCATTCTTCCCTGCTCAGATTTCTCATGTGTGCCGATCGAACAGTATCTAGTAGTGCCCCTTAAAATCTATATATTACAAATCTTCTGCGAACAATATTTCGTCTTTCAAATGAAGACTAGAAAGCAGAAAAATTAGCAGTGTCATGTAAGTTTACTTTTCTAATACCTGAACAGAGCTCGTGCACGTGGCCTTCTCATTTTGAGTTTTCCGCCTGAGCTCATAACCACAAACTCCCTGGCTAGCCCGAAGTCCAAAATATGGATGAACCTATATTCAGGTGTGCCGAATTTCCCTACTGCCATATTAGCAGGTTTGATATCCCGATGTATGAAGCCAATCTGCAAGATAAATCGTGAACAGAATATTTTTCTTGATAAGCAGTGATATGGCTTTTATGTTATAATTCCAACTGAAATCAACGTCAACTTTAATTTATTTCTGCCCATTTGGTCTGGTTTTTCGAGTAATAGTGATTTGTGCAGAATATCACGCACTTTTATTCATTCCAACTTTAAGGTAAGAGAGTAGTTAACATGTATATGATAGATGATAGGAGGTAAAAAGAATAAAGCTCTCGGTATTGATCAATCCCTGAAGGATGTGCCATCCATTCAATTTCATTAAGCACCGTTTGGAGGTGATTGAATGCATATATGGCCTTTACAATGACCCGCGGTAGCACACCGATGTATCGAGCCAGTGCTGATATCCTCCTAGACATGTCTGGTATCAATTTACCCACCCCAGAGGGATGGAAGGCTTGGTGGGCCATGGGCGCTAGGATCGATTCCTCGTGTGTGTTGCAGGGCGCCTCCGAAAAGTGCGCCACATGCGCCACTATGATAGATGGTGCCATTGTCTAAATGTTGCATGTGGTCAAAGTCTTAAAGTGATTTTAAATGTTTGAAACACGCTACCTATATGACATTATTCTGACAAGGCATCAAAGTAACTATCGCAACTTGTCCCTCAACCTCTGGATAGCCAATAACTGATCAATCCGCACTCAAGTACTTATTTTATTTTGAAATGTGTCATCTAGTGTAATTTTAATGAGAAAATCTATTTCATGTGAAAAAATAACAACGAACATCGTGAATCTGTTTTAGCCCGAATAGGATGTTGATACCGATCCTCACTTGAGAAGAAACGCTAAAAATCCTCCCGAGCCTCCTGAAAAAGTGACTTATCTTAGAGAAAAAAAAACAAATCCCCAAGACCGACTTTCTGTTAACCTCGGCCTTCTAATAAATTCCTAAATTCCTCCTAACCTTCTAATAAATTTTATATTAACAACCTCGTGTCTGCTTATTGAAGAAAAACATAGAAAAAACAAAGTTTGCCTGATGTAGCACACGACGAAGAGTAAAACACCGCGATTTTCACTAACTTTGTGATATGTCGGAGGCTTTCTCCCAACAGCGTCATCACGACGTAGCAGTACGTTTCTCGTTTACCCGAGTGTAAAAGCTGAGCGACGTATGGTCTGTTGAGGAGTCGTTGAAGAATCTGGAAGAATATCTTCTACATAGAACAACAGTGGAATAGAATCTATTCTCACCTGTACTTCTAACTTTAGTACACTTCCGCCGGACACAAAGTTTGACTCCGCCTTTAATGCTGCCTAGAACATCCTGTAGCATTTCGAATGATAAATCTAAGAGAGAGTTGGAGCCTAACAAGCTTATTGCTTCCATATTTTAGTTCGAAGTGATAGAAATATTATATCATAGTTTTTATTATATTGTATTTTACATTATATTACAGTTTATTTGATTCTTGACTCTTGTTGCTACTTCTCATATTTTTTGTGCGTCGATCGATTGATACATAATAAACAACGAGGTACTCTTTGCATTTGAAATGCATCTGCAGTTGGCTGAATAACTTGAAAAACTAGACAAAATAAGGAAACCCGAAGAGCCCATTTAAAAAAAGTGAACAAGAGAATGAGAAACAAGGACAAGGATAAATAGATAGGCGTGTGTGCGTGACAGGGAGAGAAAGACAAAGAGACAAAAAAGAGTAAAAATTTGGCATAGGACAATCTTTGAAAGCGCGCCATGCACTCCTTATCAATGCATCGTTTCTGTTATTTTATCCTCCCAAAGAAGTCTAATTCCAATTCCCTAGTTTTGAAAAATATATTGCATAGAACCATCGTTTCAGATGAATAAATAGAAATGATTTTTTACAATCTGTTCCACAGAAAGAAGGCCATGTAATCAGGCTCGAAACTGTGTACAAACTGTCGTATACTGCCGCAAGTAGAACATTCTCCACAATATAACGAGCACTCTTTATCCTTCCATATAATTATATAACCCCTATATTGATCTTGCAATGTTCCATATGTTATGGTAACTGCTAATGTAAAACGAAATTGTTTTCCCGTTTAACGTAGATTGTGCAAGAACCAGACTGGCACGGGTTTAACAATGCACATTTTCGAAAGCACAACGAATAATGCACCTTTTGAACCCCTTTTTGAGCAGTAACTCTACCCACTTCAGATTCTACTTCGACACTTCTACACGTTTACCATATTATAGATCTCCTCAGCTACTCATATGTGATACATAGCTTTTTCCTTCTTACTGCTCAAATACTCTCATGCGGAGAACACTTTCCTATTTCAGTGTTCCCTCTCACTTACAATACTATGCTTCATTACAATCTTAACTCTTTTATTTACTGCCTTTTTCTTTTTAATAGCAGGGTATGTTGCGAAATATAACTCGTGTATAATGCTGAGATATTTCCAAAACTCCGGACCGCAGGTGTATGCGGTGGGAACGAGCGCGCGCTATTGTCCTTATCGGGGAGTAGAGCACTTCACCACCACACCATCCGAGTCCTTCGTTATGCCTGTCTCTCAGTTAGTTTCAGTGCGCTACTCCCCGGAAAGGACGTTCGCTCTCCACCGTGTACACCTGCGGTCGGGAGTTTTGGAAATATCTCAGCATTATATACTATGCTTGATTGTTTGTCACTCTCCTGATATTGTTTTAAATAAATTTGTTGATCTCAATACGTTGTTATTGATGTATCAATATTGTATATGTGGAGACTTAATTACCCAACTTCGGGCTTTTTTCATTGCTATAAGACGCAAATGTATAGGATCGACATTGAAAAAAAAAACGCACTTTATTCGAGCCATTTTACTTCTATTTTACCGGCTCTATTCAGTATATGTGTGGGAGCTAAGATACAGCCTACTCATACGCGACGCGAAACATATGTGTACAAGTATGGAGTAGCTGATTGAGAGAACGGGATAAGTTGTTGAAATAACCAAGTTGGTTTCTCATGTTTTGCTAACATTGTGTTGTATTGTTGCCTATATGTACAAAAATATAACACCAAAAAAACTATCCAGCCGTTTTGAGTAATCGTCCAGAAAAAATAATAAATTGACCGTGAAATCGAGTCATGGTGCTAGCTGAGAAAGACGATATGAAAATCTGGCTTAGAAGTACTCCGCAGATAGAAGCATCTCGTCTAGTGAGGGTTTATAAGGGAGAATGAGTCGTGGGGTTGGTATGACAAGTTTGCATTGCGAAACAGCGAAGAAGCATAACTATAGTGATGTTTGATTAGCTTTTAAAAGCCTATATTACTTAAAATATCCTGCAGTGGTAGTTTGACATTTGTTTAAAAACTTTTTCACTTCTATGACTTAAATGTTATTCGTTAGGCGTGAGCATGGAGCCAGAGCACTCATGTGAAAATTTTCTCCTTTTTATTTATATTAATTTAATAAAGTGGAACACGTACTTCTTGTTTTGTGTGAATATTCTCTACTTTATATACTGCTCCACAACCACCTTCACCCAACTTTTTTATGATCCGCCAACGTTTACTAATTATTTCTCCTTTTGGTATTTGAACAGGACCAGAGTCCGACCCTAAAACAGTTCACCTTATCCTTTTATTTCTCTACAAATGTAGAAATGGAAGAGGAAATAACCCATGGAGACGGTCGTACGATTGTCCAATGATGTTGATCAATGAAAATAAACCACTCTTATGCTGCTTAGTAACTCGTCAAGATGGTGATAAACCCATATCTTGAATCGCGGACACTAACTTTTTACAAATACGTGAAAATCACTCATGTGATTGTATCAGGCAAGGAGAGTGCTATAAAACGGTGGTATAAATTTGCTCCATATTCCTTCATTGTGTTCTATAGGAATTCCCAGTTGGGTGCAGTGGTGCAGTTGCATTTGATAATGTCCACTGCGAATAAAAAAGTAGCATTGGTACATTTCGTCTCATTTAGTCATTACTGAGATCAAGCGTCATGCAACTGTTTAATTCTCTTCTTGCTCCTCCAACATTTTTAAAATTTTCATTTGCGAAAGTCCTTTAATGAAGAAAACTTCTGAGGAGACTAATGGTCCATTTGCCTTATCGAAGCATATCCTCTTCAAGTAATCCATGTAGAGCGATCTTCGCCTGAAACGCCGCGATTTACGAAAGACAATCGAGTACGGATGGCGTCGTAGGTGTTACAATTTTGCTTTGATGGAAGTTGCCGTCTACGTGAATATGCCCATATTCGCGAAACCTAAAAACCTAGTTTTCCATATCTCCAACATATGTGTAGCATCTTGTAATTTTTTCATATCGCAATCCATGCTGCAGCTATGATTCATGGTAATGATTTCCAAAAAAAAGAATTACTGGTGAAAAACTGAATTATGTAGGCCTGAGTTTTTTTGAATCTTTTTTTGAGTTATATCAACAGCTCAAGAATTAGGTTCTATTTTCGAATGATTGTCCAATGAACCTATGGGAGTTCTATAGAGGTGCATGTGGCGCAGTGGTCGGAGGCGCCCTGCAATACATATGGGATCGATCCCCTCTCCCCTCGCCCACCAAACCCTCCATCCCTTCGCGGTCGGAAAATTGGTACTAGACATGTCTGGGAGCATAGCAGCAATAGTCCACTGCAACTCATTATCATGGCAAGGTATGCATTCAATCACTTTCAACGGTGCTTAGAGAAGTCGACTGCATGGCACATCGCTAAGGGATTGATCAACGCCGAGAGCTTTATCCTTTATTCTTTATGGGAGCTCTTGTGCTACTTGTCTGTAAAAAACCCATAGTGTCTGAGAAGATAAGGGTGATGAGGAATGCGCTGATATTCCGCCCAGTGAGCAATTCATACAACTTGGTGCCTCGTGACCGCTGGATTATAAATGATAGCCAACACGGGATCGGACCAGCTACTCCTTTATTTATGTACGGAATCCATTCATTTTGATCGATTCTTTATTGCTGATATTTGGAAAGTTCTTGCAGTAAAAGATCAACAGGCAATGGACGGCAGAAAGGGGACGCAGAGGACGCTTTTTATAAGATTCATTGGCTTACGACTTAAGATGAGATTTTTTTTATATTCCGCTAATAGGCGATTATTCGATCACTGGTTCTACTTTTGCGATCGATCTCATTGGGACCAAAGTAATGACAAGGTGCAGAGTTAAAAAGTCGCTAGGTCACCTCCATTTAGCCGATAATGCGACTTATATGCGAAACAACAAGTTGTCCGAGATCAACACATTTATTCAACTTATCAATAAACATTGCAGAAGAGTTTGTGCAAATCCCAACACAGTCCTTGCTTAACACTTGGTTTTTCTTTTAGACCCGTCACCTACGGATCTACTTAGAGCTATCAGCCGTGTAGTCCCGAAGTTCTAATATGTAACGCGTCCACAAGTGACGTGAAGAGTGCTGACATCATCTCACACGGTAACCGCCACGTGTTATAACAATTTAAATGGAAATACGGTAAAATGAAAGACAAAAGGAAAAAGCCATCGAGTCCGATCAATCTCTAAGGAATATCCTGTGCATTCGACTCCTTTAAATCACTCTATAAATGACTAAATGCGTACATACCTCATCCAATGACTTTCAGGAAGGTAGCGATGTTTGAAGTCGTCAGGTATCAATTTTCCGACCCCAGAAGGATAGCCTTGGCTATCGCAGGACGCATGCCGAGCGAACAACATATGCATTGCACAGCGCCTATAACCAATTGCTCTACACGTGCCATCGAGCAACCTATCCTAGTAAAAAATTCTTGACTCTCCCACCATTACCCATTCCTTGGATGAACTCTTTGGACACTCACGCCAATAAAGTAACCTCACTAGTCTCCTCACTAATCAAACTCGGGTTTAATCACTTCGGCTTTGAAGAAGATCAAGGCGCCGAAAACGATAGCCGAATTAAAACTTTTTTAACACCCTGTTGTAAGCTCATGAATACAGCGAAATAATGATTGTTAATACTGAGGTTAAATGAATTTCGGGTTATTTGAGTAGTTCTCTTTATTTTCCTCACGATGTTTGGTTTTTCTTTCCTTTTAGATTCTTTGTTCACTCATGATTGATTGACAGTTGTGAACAAATCTTTATAACATTAACAGAAGCTGAATTCGGATGTGTCAAAGTGAAACTGGTGGATTTATGTCGAAATAAATATTAATTTGCTTGAACTGTCTCAACAACAAACGGCTGCTATTCCTGCTATGGAGACCGGCTGATGCTTAACCCTGAAACGGCTATTTTTATGGATATTGCCGCAGTATTACCGAAAATCCACCAATTGTTGGTTTTCACCATTCATGACATCTCCTGTCAAGTCCTTCTCTACATACGCCTCCTTCTCTACATTAATTTCGCAAGAAACCAAATTCGAATTTTGCACTATGGACTGGTACTCACGTCTTTCTGCGAATTGCAAATTCAGTGTGGACTCCGTGATAGTGATACTTGCGTATCTTTCTGTAGCTACCATGCTAAATTCAGGAGCTGCTTCTTCACAACCATCAATGTCGAAGGTTTCATCAACTGTTTCTGGTGCTGCTGATTTCACTGGTGAATGATCCTCCTGTATAGAGATAACTCGAGATGTTGTTGCACATTCAGGTACCGCTGGAGGCAGATCAACAAACCGCTCTTCTCTCAACGATCTAAGAGGAGGAAAGTGAAGACCTTGTGTTGTACTTTGCTGTTGATAATCTGTTGACTCTTTTGCACCAAATTCATGAGTGATTTTCACATTGCTGTTCGTAAGTGGGGGGTTGTTGAAGTAGCCTGGGATTGAAGGAGACTCATCGCCGTCTTGAATGTAGTGAATTAGCTGTCCGCCATAGAGAAGATTTTTAAGAACGACACAAGATCTTTGTGCATGCCGGTTTTGAACATCCACTGGTTGTTCGTCTTGTGCTGTCTTCTCTTGTTCGGTACCCCCTTCATCCTCTTCTTTCATCTCCCTCTGTATCGTTCCATGACCGCTAAAAATTTCTCTATTTTCTTGTAAAAAAAATTGTAACTCTTCTCCAAGTCTCATATGATCAACCTGAAAACACGATATTTCAGCGATAAATTTCAGCGACTGAGTGAATTTTTTGCTAACCAGTATACTTGCCACGTATCGATTGATAATGCGTTTGAGCGGTGGCAAGCCATCTGAGCAGTAAGTCGGAGGAGGTTTAATGAACGTTTTCCTGAAGAATGACGTGTTCGGTAAAAGATGATATGGTGGCGGCAGTGGGAGAAGTCGTGGACGCTTTGTCGGATCGGCATGTTCCAGATTCAATAAATCCTCTTCCATATTTGGCGGCAAAAGCACCGGCCACTAAAAATTCAATGTCCAGCCATGGAAAATTTTTATTGTCAGACGATGCTGCGTACATCTGATTGAAGGCGAAATTCAAAGTCGCAAAAAATGACATTGCAAAGAATATAACTTGTATAATGCTAAGATATTGGCAAAACCCCGAACCGAAGGTGTTTGCGGTGGGGAACGAGCGCGTTATTGTCCTTTCCGAGGAGTAACGCTTTTGCCACCACACCATGCGGGTCCTTCGTTTCGTCTGTCTCTCAGCTACTTCTATCGATCTCTCCCATCAGTAATCAACCGTCTCAGCATCAATGAAATTATATTTCGCAACCTACCCTGCCATTAAAAAGAATAGGCAGTAAATAAAAAAGTTAAGATTACAAAGAATGTTGACTGACCACATGGCTATCAGTTCTGAGGTAATTTCGGTGAATTTCTATCAATTCATTTGCGGTAACACTAGGTGGTCGTAGAAATGGACGTTCTGGACTTGAAATTTCTGGAAGAAACTGTGGCACCTCAGCGTTTCGTGTTGGGCCGGACGCGTCCGATGAGTGCCTAGTCTTTTTCATATCCTGAACCGTAGTTTTAGAAGATATGAAAATCATATTGAAAATCGTGCGGAAAATTACTCATAATTGTTTAATGAAAGTCGCTGTTTATGATTTCCACAGAACGTGCCAGCAGGTCAACTACCAACTGATACAGCGCGTATCGCCCGCCCAAAAGGAGATCGAGATAGGTGGCGGCAATCGATCGTCATCCGTCGTGCATGAAGGGGCACAACCGAATAACGTTCGCCATTCGAGCGCTGCTCCCTCCACTGGATTTGACTCGATGCGACAACGAACATCTCCACATCGCAACAACGAACTGCTGTGGAACATAGACTCGGATCAACGCGATTAGGATGAGCCCAAGGGCGTTGAAACGTTAGCCCAGTAAAAGAACTATGTCATGAATCGCATGATATCGATGTCATATTTAGAGCGTAGGTGTAGCTGGCGTTAAAAAACCTCCCCATTTCTGTCACATTGATCAGTTTACGAAGAATTGCAATAATAAATCTTGAAGGAATGAATTTGCCATGCGATTCCGAGCCCAGAAGAAAGGCGATTCCATAGACTATCTTACATACTTGGACTTGGATACTTGGACGGCTCGTCCTCACTGGTTGTGCGAGCTCCAGCATAATCTGTATTTTTCGGAATTTTACTAGTTTATCTAATCGGTTTTCCTAGATTGCCGAGGTCAACCTAGCTAAAATCCACCGCAAGTCATCACCACCACAGGCAGTGGCCGTTCTTGTGGACCAGAGGGAGATTCG